TGTGCCCCTGAGAGGGCAATTTGTGAAGATGTAAGGGTGAAGCCGAAGGTGCAGTGGAGACCCCAGAAGTTTGGAAAAGCCAGGAATGTGGATGATCCAAGGAAAGTTGCAAAAAGGGAGCAGAGAGGATTTAAGAGAAAAGCTGCGGGAGTTGAAATCGGCGGAAGTGCCCTGGGGGTGGAATCACCCAAGGCTTTTGGAACTTGCAACCAGATTGCTTCAGATGCTGAGTGTAGAACTCTAGGACTTAATGTTTGTCCTGCTGGATATTGGAATTGCTTTGTTTCGAATGCTTTCTATTCTCCTGTTTGTAAATTTTGGAATGGTAATGTTTATCTTGTGCCTTTGCATTTCAGAAATGTTTAACCTTGTTTCTTTTGTACAGGGGCTTACAGTTAAGAGTTTGCCATAGATCTTGGAGGAGACTTGGCACTTGGACTTTTAAGCAATGTTGAAGCTGTTAGGACTTTGGCAACTCTTGGAGGTGGACTAAATGTCTTTTGTATAAAGGATGTACATGAGTCCTGGGGGCCAGGGGTAGAATATCATGGTTTATGTTTGTGTAAGACACCATGCTAGTGGGTATGAAGTAGTATCTTATTCTGGTTTTTTTTTTTTTTTTTTGGTCTTTTTCTTTTTTATCGGTACTGGGGATCGAACTCATGACTGCCTGCGTGCAAGGCAGGCGTTTATGCTGCTGAGCTAAATCCCCAGCCCCCTTATTCTGGTTTTGACCTCCATTTCCCTAAGGATTAATGATGTTAAGCACATTTTCATATGTTTGTTGGCCATGTTTAGTTTTCTTGGAGAAATGTGTATTCGCGTTTTTTAAAAATCAGATTGGAGGGCCAAGGATTTAGCTCAGTGGCTCAAGCGCTTGCCTGATAAGTTCAAGGTTGTGAGTTCAATCCCTGATACCAAAAAAAAAAATCAGATTGGAGCCGGGTGTGGTAGCACATACCGGTAACCCCAGAACTTGGGAGGCTGAGGTCTCACTGAGCATTTGAAGCCAGCTTGGGCTACATAGGGAGTTCAGGTCCATCCTGAACTGCATAGTGAGACCTTGTCTCAAAAAAAAAAATCAGATTGGAAATACCTGTATCTATTCATTCTTGTGTGGCACCAGGCACCAAAATTTTTTATTAGGTTCTTAATATATTTTAAATTTTTGAGAGAAGTTCTCATTGTGCAGGTCACACTAACCTTGGAACTTATGATCTTCCTACCTCAACCTCTGAAGTTCTGGGATTACACTGTGCCCTGCAGATTTTACACACACACACACACACACACACACACACACACACACACACACCACGGTACTAGGGATTGAACCTAGAATTTTGACCTTGAGCTGCATCCTTAGCCATTTTTTGTTGATTTGATTTTTAGCAAGATCTTGCTAAGTCACTAAATTGCCCAAGATGGGCCCAAATTTGCAGTCCTCTTGCTTTAGTCTCCCCAAGTGCTGGGATGATAGGGATGTGCTACCACAACCAGCCTATTACATATATTTTTACATGCATTGTCTTAAGTTACAAGAGTTCATTATATGTGATCAGTAACAGATATACAATATATATGCTTCTCAGATATATTTTTGCAAATATTTTCCCATTTTATGGGTATCTTTTCACTTTGTAGATAGTTTTTTATGGAGCTCAAAAGATTTTAATTTTTTTTTTTTGGTACCAGGGATTGAACTCAGGACTGTGTGCTTGCCAGACAGGCACTTAGGCCACTGAACTAAGTCACCAGCCCAAAAGATTTTAATTTTGACAAAATACAGTTTATCTGCATCTCCTTTTGTTGGGCTTTGATGTCAGAACTAAGATTCCACTGCCAATCAATAACTATTAGTCTCACTCCCACATAGGGCCTGGAACCCAGGACTCCATGCTTTCTAGGTAAGTGCTCTGCCACTGAACTAACTCCCTAGCCCTACTGAACACTGTGTGCCAGGATTTAGCGATTTCATGGTAAGACAGACCACTGTGGTCCTCTAGTGGGGCCTGGGAGACACTAATCTAATAACTGCAGCTGTGATTAGGACTATAAGAAGATGTACATGGTATTATGAGTTTATTATGAGTAGAGTGCCAACCTAGCTTTAGGGGCAGGAAAGCCAGTCCACAGAAGATAAAATTTAATTTTTCAAATTTGAGTGGGTGTGGGCCCAGTGAGGGGCTTCGTTCTGGAGCGGGAACAGCATGTAAGGTCCTGAAGTTCAGAAGAACAGGGCTCTGACGGGCCAGCAAGGACTGTGTGGCTGGTGCAGAGTGTTGGGGTGAGTTGAGAAGGGATGAAAGGACTTTGGGAGAGAAGGTAAAGCTAAGGGGAACACTTCTGGGGCTTCATTCAGATAAGCACCTGCAAATAAAGCCATAGAAGGTCATGAAAGACTAGAGCCTATACTTTTTCCACTTTACTGAGGAGGGAGTGCTTGCTCAGAGAGGCAAGCACTTTGCTCAAGAGTCAGGATTTGAACCCAGGTTAGGCTGAGTACTATACTTCCTACCACACCAGTGGCTACTGTGTATTATGTTCTGACTGTCTGTCTGTCTGAAACACGGGTGTGGAGGAAGAGGAGTTCTCAACCTAGCTTCAAAGCTTAGGGGCTCCACACAGTTTAACACAGGGGGCTTCTAGGTAAGTTTCGCCAGAGCGCAGGCTTTGAAGGAGACAGAGCAGTGTGGAGGCTGCCCTCATCTGGGTCTTTGAAATGTCCAGGTGGAAGCCTGACTTTTCTTGGAATACTGCTGCACAGTCATTTTGCCTATGACACACTGATCTCGTTTCTTCCCTGGCATATTCACCCTCCAAGTGACTGCCAGGGTGTCTTTCCAAAGTCTCATCAGTTACTTGGCTCAGAAACCTTCCATGACTCCAACTACCTTTTGCTAAAATCTGTGTTTTCCTTTTAGTGTGATCTGGAGCCTGTCAGCTTATTCAGCCTTGCCATTAACCGCTCCCCGGCTCTCACCAAACCAGCTGACTTACGGTTCCAGTGTTTGCTACAATCATTAGTCAGCTCCTCCTCATCCTTGGAAAGCCTTTCCTGCACATCTGCTGAGCCTGGGTCCTACTCGGGACCTTGGTGTGTCCTCAGCACCTCTTACCCCAACCTGCCTGCTTACATGTCAGGGCCTTGCCTCTGTCCCATCTCTGGCCCAGGGTGCACCACTCAAATGTAGTTTTACCCCATCTGCTCAACTCCACTTCGCTCCCCTGGTAAGCAGTTTCTCAGGGAATTTGCTTTTTCTCTTGGGGTGAGCATACCAGTCTTGCCTCAAAAGCATACCAGAAATGCCAATCGCTTGATGTTAGGCAGGGGGAGTTTTCAGCATGGGAGTTTGTCCCCTGCAGCCAGACCTCAATTTTACATGGAGGAGGTAGGGTAGGCAGTATCATGTGGTGAGAAAAAAAATCTGTGGGGAAGAATAGCTGACTACAGGAAAAAAACATTAAAAGTTATAAGGCGTTTTCAAATCTTCTAGCTGATTTTTCATTTTGGAAAGGACAAGGTAGATAGTTATTTTTGGTCCCCAAATCTGCCAACAGTAAAGGTGCTTAACTTCCAACTTTTCCTGTATAGAGAAGACTACTGTTGTGAGTGCCCTTTGAAAGCTTAGCTTATGCCAACCTGCCAGTCTTCTTCCAAGCCAGGAGCCCACAAATGTAGCCCTGTGGCAGGAAGCCCTGTCCACCTAGGCAGCTTTCAAGGGGGAGGATGTGAAACACAGACCACAGCCCTAAATCTGTAGAATGGGCATAGGGGTAAAGAGGGCTACTGGCACATACCAATGCCAAATAACAGAAGCTTGGACTTGCCTACCCTGTCCCTAGGTTCAATCCCTAGTACCACAGTAAATATCCTGGTAACTTCAGTAGCACTCAGTATACTGCTGTGTTCCCTACTTTGAGTCAGCCACCAAAGAAAAGTTTATCTAAAAAAAAACGAATTAGTCCATTACACTGTGTAAATATGATTAAGGTGTGGTTCCCGGAGATACTGGGCAGCCTGAAAACAGGAATCAGAAGGGTTTGGATCATTGAATGAATGAGAAGAACCTCATAATGGGTTATTAAAAGCCAGGAATGTTTCCAGCAAAAGGGAACACATACCCACTAGGCAGAGATGCAAACCTGGCTGAGGCAGCTTAGGATGGAGATTCTGGGATGTAATGACTCAGTTTCTCCAGTGTTCAAGGACTAGGCAACACAACAATCCACTAAGTGCTATTCAAGCTGCCAGACAGTGCTAGCTCATTAACTTATTGTGATACTAGGGATTGAACTCAGGTGCTCTACCATGGAGCTAAATACCCAGCCCTTTAAAAATCTTTAGCAACTGGAGACAGGGTCTTGCTAAATTGTCCAGGTTTTGAATTTGTGATCCTCCTGACTTAGTATCCTGCGTAAATGGGATTATAGGCAGGCAGTCCTGAACCTTCTATGTTAAAAACGCAGTGTTTTCTAAGGCAGCATGGATCACTGGCCACCAACTGTTTTTCCTTCCTTTCAGGCTGTTAACCCTTTCTATTTAATTCATGCTACTTCTGAAGGGAAGCAGTTTTGCAAAATGTGTATTAATTTTGTTTTTAAAAATGTGGATGACAAAAGCTCTATCATGCAAAAAAAAAAAAAAAAAGTACCAGATGGTGTGTCTCACTGCAGGGCACAATTTAAATAAATCACAGGACATCATGCAATATCAGAGATTATAAAATTAAGAGACTTATCACCCCTAGATCCTCTACATAATTCTTCTAGGATGAGACTTTCACAGGCCAAAGAGCTCGGAAGACAAGTGAACTGCATGTCTCTACTAGAGGCAAGGAGGAGACAACTTCTTTAGGGTACAGTTCTGGCCATTTGGTCTGAGAATCACCCCTGGAGTCTGGATCTCTCGCTTGTGGCCTGGTTGGGTTGGTGACCTCTTCCCTGCACACATATGCAGCTTTCCCCTGTCATTAAGAAGGACAAAAAAGGCACTCCTGTCACGTGAAAGGAGAAACGGTTGCACTTTAATATACTTAAGAAGTCACCTGTGATATATCAAAACGGTAGCAGGAAGGCATGAGTAGCCTCACACCCATCACCGGGAGCTAACCATCTGTGCAGTGATACTCAACAAGGGCAGAGTTGGGCAGTCAGTGGGCCATTTCCTTTGCACCAGTGGTTTACAGTTTTAACTTGTTCTTCTGGTGAATGCTTCCCAATAAACCAGTGCTTCTGCCGGGCTCAGAAATGGCTACTGGTGTTTCCTCTCAGCAGGACTAGGTCTCTGTTCCTAACTGGTGTCCGGAACCTTTTGGGCTTGATCCTGGGCTCTCCCTCCGTTAGGGGCTGCCCTAGTCTCCGGGTCCCTCTGGCTGGCGTCTTTGAGAGGCCTGGAACAGATACCCGAGTTGGGCCAACGAGGTCTACACCTCACAGGTGCAAGCTGAGTCAAAGGCGCCTCTTTGGTGTCAGAACCTGCTGAGGATGAGGCCTCGCCACTTCTAGCTCTCTAATCACTGTCACCCTCAACGGTTTTGGAAGAAGGGGAACAGATGGCGGAAGAGGCCATGGATTTGCGCCACCCGGCTGCCCGTGGCGTCTTTCACTCTGGCCAGTGGGGTCGCCGCTCTGTTGCTAGTCTCCACGGCTTTGGCACCCGCAGCGCTCGGGGTCCGTCGCAGCGGCCATGCAGCGGCGCCGCTGCTGTTGTTGTTGGTGTTGTGGGGGTCTCTGCCATGCACCAGCTCCCAGTCCTCCGCCCCCAACAGCTCCCGCAGACTCTGGGGAGCGTCGGGACGCAAGTAGTGGTAAGGCCGGTGGCCGCTGTGGTCGCGGCGCGTGGGGTCAGCTCCCAAGGCTCCCACTAGCACCTTGATAACCATGTCGTGGCCCTGCAGTGCTGCCAGGTGGAGGGGCGTGAGGCCGCCGCTGCCTGCGGCGCTCACGTCGAGCGGCAGTCCCTTGCGCCTGGCGAAATCATGCACCAGAATGAGCTCTTCGTGGCGGCCGTGCTTGGCCAGCCAGTGCAGCACGCTGTAGCCCGTGACCGGGTCACCCCGCAGGAGCAGCCCAGGGTCCGCTTCCAGCAGCTCCCGCAGCACCTCAAACCGGCCCTCGGCGGCCGCCAGGATCCACGTGTGCTCCCGCGGCTCCAGGCACAGCCCGCTGCCACCGGACCCGCTCGGGGACGGCTCCTCAGCGCGCTCCTCAGACAGCCGCCCGGCGGGAGCCGCCCCCTGCGGCCCAGACAGCTCCCTGCGCGGCCCCCGCCGGCGCCCGGAGCCTGCTCCGGAGAGCGTCAGCAAGCCCTGGAAGGGGGGTTCCCGGGAGGCGGCGGCGGCACCCCGGTACCTGCCCAGGCTGCCGGTGTCCACTCTCGAGCTGCGCGGCTGCGGGGTGGGCGCGAGGGAGGCCTGGGGCGCAGGGTCCGCGGCCCCTCGGAGCTGGGCCATGGTCTGGCGGCTGCCTCCGCGACGTCGCGCGTTCGTTGCCCTTCCCGAGCCCCACCGGGAGAGGAACTGGCGCTAGCGGTGGGGAAGGAAGCAGCTTGAGCAACTGGGCTCTCGAAGGGAGGGCGCCGAGGAGGGGAGGCGGAGAGAGGGAGCGAGTTAGGGGAGGGCCCGGCGTGCGGTGGGGGGCGTGGAGGTCCAGGAGGTCCAGCCGAGTCCCCGAGGCGAGCCCTTCTCCAGTGCCTCTCATATCACCGTGGCCGCAGCTGTCCCAGGTTGCCGGCGATCTCGCCCCAACAGCCAGGTGAGCTGGGCGGCCCCGCCTCCGCCGCGGGGCGGGCCGAGTTTTCTTCGGCGGGCGTCCTGAGCATCCCGGCGGAGGCTGGGGTAAAGAGGCTCTAGGGCGCCTCCTCCCCGCGGGGCGGGCCGAGCTGGCCTCACAGCGCCGGATCTTCGAGCCCCGGGCGCTCGCTCCACCCCCTTCCTTCGCCCTCCCCTCTTATCTCTTCGGGAATCTCCCTGCACTTTGTCCCCAGGCAGCCTTCGTCCTGCGCCTGGCAATCGGTGAAACAACCTGTCTGCAGTAGGTGACTCAGGCTTATCTGCCCCGCCCTTTGGGTGACCTTGACCTCTTCGCAGCACCGGTGCTGCCCAGAGTTTCCCGCGGAGAAACCAGATCCCAGAGTCCTGGCTGAAGCCCTCGCGAGGAACTGAGAGGGGGTATTCCCCTACCGCCCCGCCGCTCCTGCCTGTAGGCTCAGCTTTTCCTTCTCTCCTCCCTTGTAAGCTTTCCCAAATTGGCTGCAGTGAATCTGAGCTAGCACTATAGGGATCTTTCTGCCCTCTGTGGTGATGTGGTCCTGCTGTTTCCCCAGGCACCTGCTGATTCTGCAAATTCAGGGCTTCTACTTTTTTGTTTTTAAGGAGGATATTTTACCTTTCTACTCTTAATACCAGCCCCCTCTTTGTTCTTTTTTTTCCTCACGAAACCGTAGTTTTGTCACCTGCTCCTTACCATGTTGAGTGCAATGGAGCCATAGAAGATTTGAGCCAGGAAGAGACCCAGTTGTGATTAAAGTTGCTAGGAAGATGATTGTCGGAGAGGCAGAGGTAAGTAGCCTAGAGAAGTCTGGACCAGAGAAGGTGGGGGCCCAGTGGTGGAAGGTGTCAGAAACTTTTCCTCCTTGGTCCTCAAGTTTGGAAACAGCCTTAAGTATCTTGAGCATTCCTTCACGACAGGTTATGCATTTGTAATCCATTCATGAATATTTCCTATGCACCTGACACTGTCTGTGTATTAATTCATGTAATCTTCCCGCTGACTTTAGGAACTGAGTGTCATTACAAATCTCAGCTTGCAGAGAGGTTAGGACACCTGTCCAAGGTCACCCAGCAGGAAGCACATAGTAGAGCAGGCCAGCTGACAAGGTAGCCTTTGTTCTGGTCTCGAGGAATTGACATTCAAGGCAGGTTTGTGAAATGCAAATCATTCACACAAATGCTAAACTCCAAACTTCAACCTGCCCTAACCTGAAGACAACTTCCTTGCCCTTCTTTCCCCAGAATACCCTCCTTTGCAGCTTCTGTCCAGGGGAGTTCTCGCTGCCTCCCAAGGCTGGCCTGTGCCTACTTTCTCCAGTCACCCTCCTGTTTACCCCAGCTGGGAGTCAGCCTCTCCTTCCCTAGCCCTCTGTTCTACTGCTCCTTTGGCAGCCTGCATAGATACCCTTGTGTTCTATTATTTCTCTTTCATTGCTTTGATGTGTCAAACTGTAAATTCTTTCCCAGTACTTGGGAGGCTGAGGCAGGAAGATCACAAGTTTGAGGCAGCCTGGGCTACATAGCAAGACCCTGTCTTAAAAACAAGCAAAGCAAAACAAAAAACGTATAAACTAGTAGGTGCAAAAGAATTACTTATTACCGTGTTCTAACTTGGCAGCCTGGGGAAATTGAGCACATGTGTGTTGGAGGAGTGTATACGTAGCTGGAGCCCCCAAGTCTACTCACATATCCTTGCCTCAGACTGAATCTGCAGGATGCTAAAAGCAACTTGTATATTTTGTCAATTCATAAAAATTTAAAAAGTGATTTTTTTTCCTAGAGCCAGCAGGCCAAAGCCACCTGCCAGCCTTTACTGACTTTGGAGGAACCAGAGTGGGCCCCAAGCTTTCAGGCTTTCATTTTCAAAATGAGCCCCAACTGACAAGCAGCTACTTCCGTTGTTCTGGAAATTCCCCTCTGCAACCCCAAATCTGTAAACATCAAACCACACACATGCACTCACACTTCCAGAATATACAAACAGCTGCAGCAAAAAAAAAAAAAAAAATTAATAAAATGCCAGAATGGAGGATGGAGAGCTGCTTAGACTGTTAATTTTCCTTGCCACTCACCTTCCTATTAGCAGCAGTAATATCTGGAGTTCCAGTTCAAAGATTGCAAATCACCTGACCAGTGCCACAGCCCCATGACGCGCGTGTCCTTGCCTGACTCTGTTGCCAAAGGGCAAAGCCACAGTGCCTAGCAACCCATTTCATTTTTTACTTAGCAAGTGCTTTTTACTTTAGGTGGCTAGCTGCATACACTGGGCCCCTGCATAGTACTCTACTACTTGAACCTGAGAAACAGAGGGCTGAAGGGATAGTAGCAACTCACAACTCAGGTGTCACCCAAATCATCTGCTACCTCTTGTCTTACACACCTTTTTCAGTCCTGGGGATGCAACCTAGGACCTTGTGTGTGCTGGGCAAGTGCTCTAACACTGAGCTACACTCCTATCCTCCTCCATGGGCTACTCTCCTGCAAGAGAATGTGCAAAATCCCTCAAATCCTTGCAAATGGCTTTCTAAACCACTGGATGTAGAGTGGATATTAGCATTGCAGATGGTAATACCTAGTGTTTCGTTCAAATAGCAGCTGCTCTAATAGCTTTCTGGGTTTATTTATGAATCCTGGAATTTTAGGATGACAGGGGAAGAGAAATTTAAGGCTCAATTGTTAAATGTACTTTGAAAATCAGTCTCGAAAGAGAATAGCTCAGAAATCTTATGGGAGTTGGTGGGGAATATAATTGATGTGTAAAAAATTATATGCAGCTTCCCCGGAACATGCCCGTTGAGTAAAGCCAAAGGCCATCAATGTGGTTTTCCAGTGGAGCTTTGATTCAGAAAACTTCATGAGTGCCCACGAGGCATGAAGGCATTTTATGGAACATGGGAAGCCAATCCCTCAGGTTTCCAGTGTCCTTGGTCCTGACCAGAATGAGGCACATTCTTGAGATTCCAGGTATGACATGTGAGTTTCCTTTCCTCCAAGGACCTTTGCTCATCCTATCTGATTTTCAGCGACAGAGAATGCCCCTGGTATGTGCTTGAGCATGGCGGGCGCATGTGTATGTACACTGTCATATGTCGCTGTCTCCAGTTGCCATTTTGCCTATCCAAAGTGTCAGGGCTTTGCTTCAGGACCTGTCATTTTGGATATCTTTTTCTTAGGTTCCAGAGCAAGTCGTATTTAGTAAACACTTTAAAAACTCTTGCCGAGTTCTTTGGAACTGCTGTCTCCCCTATTCCTTCAGTAAAATCTGAGGTACCCATTAGAAAAAATTATCACAAGAGCTGAATAAGCTTAGAATATAAAGGTGGTGGGACCAAGCTGACATGTGAACCATGTGACTGGAGCTGTTCAGATTCACTGGGTGGAGGGAGAGGGTGCGTGGGAAATCTTTAGGCCTCAGTGGAAGCAGGGAACCTGCCTAAAACTCACAAAGCAACGGCTTGATTGGAGCTCGGCGGTCAAATCTGGGCCCTGAAGTGTGAGGAGAAAAACTTTCCATTACATATTGTCTTGATACTGTGATGAAAAGAATGCCACATCCTGAAAAAGGCCGAAAGTATTACCACGTGGAGACGCAAGAGGGCGCTCAGACCAAGTAGCGTTTGAGAAAACCAGAAAGACTGCGGAAGCTTCACCACGGAGGAAAGAGGAACCACAGACCCTTTGCTGATGTGAAATCAGAATTCTGCCTTTGACCAGGCTGCTAATCTCTGGTCCTTAAGTAAATGCGAGAAAGGTGATACCACAGCCAAGGACTGTGGTGAGAAAGCCCAGATGTCGTCTTGAACAGAATGTGAACCATCAGGAGAGGGAAGGAGGCTATTGAGTGCTTCTTTATTTGAGAACGGTTGGCTTCAGTAATACATAAGACTTGGAACAATACTCCCAGCATGTTCTCTCGTTGATTTATTTGTTAGTTTATTGAGGCAAAGTCTCCTTATGTTACCTAGGCTGCTCTCCAGCTCCTGGGCTCAAGCCATCCTCCCACCTGTGCCTCCCAGCTGCTGAGTGATGAGCTGGCAACACTGTACCTCACTCTTTGGTGTGTTTCATGATCTCTTTTTGACCCAGGCCGCAAATCTGTGAGATATATACAGAAGCCAGTATTTATATCCAGTTAACACACAGAGGGTTTGAATGACCTACCACGGGGCCACATGGCTCCAAAGTGACAGTCAGTAGAATATCTGTGCTGGCGTCTCTGTCATACTGCCTTGACAGGAATAGCTCTCAGCAAAATTACCGTGAGTGTTGTCCTTGGTGACTTCTGCCTTCCATCTCTGACATCCAGGCAGCCTGTGACCCAGATCACCCAGTATAGTGTTGACTTAAAAAATGCTAACAGCGGCCTACTGCTTGTTGATCACTTGGGTGATGGCAGGCCCTGAGCCAAGCATTACACCTGCATTATGGCACACAGCTATTCACAGTAACATTGGTCATAGTGGTCCAAAGGCAAGAGCAGCCACAGTGCCCAGCTGTGATTTGAGTGTCTTAACTCCTCAGTGTGGAAATGCTGGCAAGTAGGCCATAGTGGAAGGTAGCTGGGTAAGGGGATGGAGCCCTCATGAATGGGTAGATGGCATTCTCCTAGGGTGGGTTAATTCTCCCTGTACTGTAGTAAGGGAGTTCTTGTTCTCCAAGGCTCTCAAGTTACGTGAGAGCAGGTTGCTCTAAAGTAAGGTTGTCCCTTGTGTTTCTTTCTTTGGCACATGCCTACCTTCCATCACTTTCTGCCATGACTTGAAGCAGCATGAGGCTATGAGTTGCAGCTAAACAGATGCCAATACGGTGAGCTTTGACTGCCTGGACTCCAGAATTGTGAGCCATAATAAACCCCTGTTCTTTTTAAATCTCCTAGTCTGAAGTATCATGTTAGAGCAACAGAAAATTGACTGACAGAAAATGTCTATCATGCCCAGATCAGTATCCCTGAACGGATAAAATGAAATGCATTACGTCCACACAATGGGATATTATTTGGTCATAAAAAGGGATGAAAGGCTTTGGGTGTCATTCAGCCCTAGAGCCCTCATCTGTGATACACAAGGCCTTTGGTTCTGTCTTCAATACTGTTTAAAAAAGAGAAACGAGATACTGACATATGTTACAAATTACATACACCTTGAAAAATGTGGTAAATGAAGTCAGATACTCTTCTGATTTCTGTGACGTGAGATGGCCTGAAGAGGGAATCCGTAAGGACAGAAAGTAGGTTAGTGGTTCAAGGCAGGCATGGGGAGTGCGGAATAAAGAGTGACTGCTATCAATGTTGGATATGGGTTTCTTTTGGGGTGCTGAAAATGTTCCAGAATTAGTGCTAATGGTCACAAAAGCTTGTGCATATCCTGAAAATTGCCAAGAGCCTCTGTGGCAGTTCCAGTCTGCACTTCTGTGCACCCCATAGCCACTCCTCAAAAAATTG